TTATCACGTCTGATTAACCCAGACAAAATTCTTTAACAGACAGGAACACAACGCAAGTAGATACTCTTTAGCACCTCAACAACTCTCTGCACCACACCAACATCGAAAATTAATAAAACTTTTACTATGAATATTCTCAAATTTTAATACTGTTTCAATAAATTCACAATTTTCAATTCTTATTTCTTGTTTTCCGAATTTTCGCTACNTTAATACTGTTTCAATAAATTCACAATTTTCAATTCTTATTTCTTGTTTTCCGAATTTTCGCTACAAACACTTTGCACAATTCTTGCTGCTTTACACAATGAACACAATACTGAAAGCAGAGACAAAACTAGCTGTCTGGCACAAATCTCTTTCGCAAAGTGGATGGGAGCAAGCGAGTAAGCTATACATAACGCAGAGCAGTGTTTCTAATCAGAGAGCGACAGCGATTACTATTGCACTTACGTCGGCGTCGACGTAATCGCGCATACACAAACAAAAAATCCGCAGCTCTAGGAGATTTATTCACCGTCCACTGAAAATTCTATGCGACAAAAAAACACCAGCCAAACCGCTTCAACGCGTTGTTCAAAATATACTGAGCGCAGCTGCTAGCTGCAGCCAATGAAGACGCTGCCACTGCGATGGGAGCAATTGTAAAGTCCGTTTATTAGATATATCGTTAATTTGGCTGGGATTTATTTCAATTCGATAAGTCCGAAACACTTTTCACTAGCAACGTATTCTATCGAAACTTATAAGGTTTTTTTTTAAATTTATACATGTAAAATGTTCTCAAAGCTTTGGTAAATGCTGAACGGGAAATACTTTCTCCCCTCTTAAATTGTAATAAATGGACTTGGGAACTTTCTCTTTTATGCTATCGATATGTTCAATCGATACAATTTTGCAAAGGTAATCTGTTTTATCATCTCCGTTGCAAATCGCCACCAGTGTTAGACAACGCAGAAATTCAGGATGGCATTTACACTGAAGCTACACAATCAATATTGGCTTTCAATTTTCTCACATACCTATTGTATATACCCATGAACGAACGAATTGGAGTTAGGTTCTCTGGAGTTAGTTGGTCTACGGCCTATAGCATTGAAAGCTGCTTTCAATTCTACTATCAGGGTGCCGTCTTCAAGAAAATAACTAAGCCATCGTAGTCCGATTTTCGTGAAGCATGCGAAGATGCGATCATTGAACCGAATTTCTATGAACGTACGAAGATATATGGAATTAATTCAGTGCTCGAATCGTCACATACGATATCGTACTACTCGCCACGTAAAAACACATTTTTAGGACTATGACATACGTGAACGTACTTTTTATCCCATTCAGCTAATACTGCCTGCGGGTATCACGAAATTTTCTTTCGTATCGTTTTCGAACCGTAAACAGATGTTACGATTCGAGCCCAGTACTCATTGATAAAAATGGACGTTATTGAAAAAAGAGATGTTGGACCTAAAATAGAAACTAACTTTTTATACTGCATATTCGGTAGTATTTGAGGCAAGGAATTGGAACTTGGTGGGAAGATATATGAAATAAATCCCAAACTCATCGGTAAAAATTGGCCTTATTGAAAATAGGGGCATGGCACCTCCAATAAAAATAATCATACTGCCAAGTTGTGAAAGTATTTGTGGTACAGTACTGGAAATTGGTATTGAAATATATGAAATTGATTCCAGTCGTAGAGAAAAATGGGTGTTTTTGAAAAAGAGGGCGCCGCGCATCTCATATATCTTAAATTTTTTATACGGCTTATCTCAGAAAGGGTTTTATAGTAGAGTACAGGAACTTGGTGTCAAGTGATGCCAAATCATTTCGATGCTTATAAAGAAATATGAGTTTTTGGAGGTACTGTTTAGTAAGTGGTCCTACTATTTCGGAGTATTGCGTCCAAAGGGGTAACCCAATCCAAAAAAAAAAAAAATTACACGCACTTGCAGTCTAGGGTTTATACATTATTTTAACGCATACTTTTGTAATTTTTTGCCACTACTTTATTTAGAAAATCGGTTGAAATATTCCATTTTTTGTAAAACTCGGAAATTAGTGTACAATTACCACTTTTATTCTCTTTAAAGCAGCTACTTCACCAATACATTTTGATATTCCTCTTCACTTTACACTTTATTCGATCCCTTAATTTTAACCCATTAATCACCATTTATATTAAATAAAAACACCTCCAAATCACGCGTCTGCCTTTGGTTGCATATGCAAAATAAATGGCGGCGTTCAGCTGTCAAACTCCAAAATATACAAGAAGAATGAGAGACGAAAGAAAATAAGATATAACCCAGCAAGCATTTAAAATATAAAACTTTCCTTGGAAATTATGTATTCGAAGGCCTAAAGGTGTTCAGCCCCCATTCTTTGGCAAAACAGAAAGGAGAAATCTACTTAAGAGAGGGTTATAATTCGTAAGTGTGGCCGAAGGCCGCCTACGCAGAAGGGTGTTCTCTGCAAAAGGTGTTCAGCCCCCTTCTTTGCAAAACACGGAAGAGAATATACTTAAGACGAGGGTTATAATGCTAAGTGTGGCCGAAGGCCGCCTACGCTGAAGGTGCTTCTGCTGCAAAAGGTGTTCAGCTTCCCTTCTGTGGGCTTCAACGGGAATTCCCGAAGGGGGAGGTTTAGGAGCCCACAACCGAGCTTAATATATTTACCGATATAGTTCTGAAATAAAAGAAATTTTTAATTATTTTTTTTCAATTGCATTTTATTTTTCAGTTTATCACTCTCGTGCTTCGCAACCAAATTTCCCCGTTTCTTATCTACGCATCGTAATTCTTTGCATTTCGGCTACAGAAAGTGTTTTGTGTTGTTTACATACATATGATTAGTTTTTTATTACATATTATTATTCAACGAACTATAGTTTTATCTCAATTTTAATCATTAAATTATTTAATATCTAATATTCAATAGAAATCGCCGCTCTCTTTAACACACATACTCCCTACTCGTCCTTACAGGCTATGCTACCTTACGTTACGTTACTTGGCTACCACAGTGTTCTCTCTTTCCGTACAAATTTCTAAATTAAACCTCAACATTCAGTGTCTCACTTTTTACGCCATTAATTTGATTTTCGAATTCATCATTTGTTTTGTTTTTCTTACCCTTTCTCAAATACATTTTTTTACTCAACGTTTAAGCCTAACGTTTTCAGTTCAAATATTCTAGTGTTTCAATTGAATCAGGAAATTAAAAATTAATTTTTTTAAATTAATCACTTGCTTGCTAACTTTCTTAAATTTCTAATACGTTTTTTTTAATTTTTCACAGAAAAAAAATAAAAAAAAAAAAAAAAATTACTGATTTCTAAATGTATCCCTAAACTCCACACTAGTCTCTTTGCCCAAAAGCCAATGAGTGGTTGGCTTTCTACTTCCGAACGCCCTACAAATTCCTTAGCGAACCATGTTGTAGTTGATATAAGTCTTCTCTGTGTAAGTAATCCTCTATTTTAATACTTATTCATAAACATATGTAGGTACATATGTAAGAATATTTATGTATGAACCATTTGAAATACTTCTATGGATTTTATTTCTTTTTTTCGAAAATGAAAAATAGTTCTTTTATAAATTTGTTTGTACAGTATTCAGAAAAATAAATAGGGTTATTACATTTTAAACAGTTTCGGCTATTTTTCTTTTGTTTGTTTAATGCTTATTATTTTTTTATAAAAGTATAGCTCTAACAAACACAATTTTAACTTCGTACAAAAATTTGGAACACTAATCAGGAATTTTAAGAAACAATTTAGCATGCAGTTTTGTAGTCAATTTAAGTTAAGTATAATAAAGCGCAAGTGTAAAGTTGCTGATATCTCGTTGATTTTTGTTTTTAATTTTTAAATGAATATGCTTTGTATGGAAGAAAATGCGTTTGCAATTTGGATTTATAAAAAAAATATACCTAAACATTAAATAAACAAGAGAAAAATCTGCCAAAATATATTAAAATGTAGCCAACCTATTATTTTTTCCACACTGTATGCATATTAGATTCTTACTTATATAATACACACTTACATCGTTATCAATCAATCGTTTTTAATAAATTTTTTAATTTGTTGTTCGAATGGGAGTGTAGGAGGTTAGAAGTGGAGTTTCTTTGTTCGTTTGGTATAATTGCTATTTCAAGATTGTGCGATTATTAATTAGAGCTTTCACGAAGCATTCCTTGAAAATAGAAACAAAAAAAAAAGGCTTTTAAAAATATGTGTTATTGGTTTCGTACCCATGGCCATACATAAAAAATACCAATAAATATTTGAAGAACTTGAATGATAGTAGAAGAAATATAAAACCTTAAACTTTCGAGCAGTTGGAATCATTAGCATATGCTGAGATGACTAGCATTTGATCGCGACGCAACCGTTCAATCGATCACTTCCGCAGCGGCTAAAATTCCTTTCTGCAGATCTAATCGCACAATCCTTCAACTACCGTGTGATTTTAATACGTCATTTGTGGATTCACAATGTAGTGTGCACGTCTTACGTAGATATATTAAAAATATATTTTCTTATGTTTAACATTCACATTTATAAATCTATTTAATCTAAAATCCAATAAACTACTTTATCCAACAAACAGCTAGGGTATACTTTAATTTTTTTTTGTTGCAATTTCGTGTATTGAATTTTTGCAAATTATTCTAGTCATGTGCTCAGAAAACTGGGGTGTTGCTCATAATTTTCGTCAATCGATTTAGAAACTATTGATTCGCAGTGTGAATAATAAATGTATTATGAATTTAAAATGTTCGGATGACGACTGGTCGCACAGCTCTAGCTAAAATACCATTTAATAATATTTTGCTGGTTGCGTTTGTGAGTTTATTTTATATTTCTAGGTGCTTGTGTTCATAAAAATAGCAATCAATACTTGATATTCTAATTTTGTATTTTTTTTCTTTGTTTTAGTGCTAAAATTTGCAAACAATGTGTTTTCGAGTTTTTATCTTTAAAACCTAATTTTTCGCAGTGACTATTATTATTATTATTATTTTGTATTTATGTTTAAGAATATACAGACATATCTCATAAAATTTCAATCACTTTGCTGTTTATTTAATGCTGTGCCCTTTCTCATTTTAATACGTACTTTGTATTCAAATACCGTGAAAATTTTCAAAATACTCTCTTAAATTAAGTATGTAATTATCTATGTGTATGTATGTATGCAATAAGATAGTATTGACTGAGCAGAGAATACATTCGTAGCAGCTAAGAAATGCCATACAACTAAAACTTATTCTCAAAATTTTAAAGTTACTAAGCGATCGCAGCATAACATTTACAATTTTCCTTAGTTAAGAAAGTTTTTTGTTTTTGTATTTTTATCTTTTAACGGCATTCACTTGATTTGGTGACGCACACACTATACTGTACAATAAGAAATGCATGCCAACAAAATTCATTGCTGTCCTGCTTGCATTTAATCTCAAAATGCTTTGGCTTTAGTGCAGCGTAGGATCTTACAATTTCTAAAAAAAAATTCAAAATCGCCAGTTTGCGCTCACCTTAAAAGTTGTATGCATTTTACAATGAAAATGACGCTAGAAAATGCTTATAAATCGTTTGATGTTATACAAAAAATTTAGAAAGTTATCCTTTATAATTTAAATGCTATCGTACAATTACATACATACTTTAATTTTCAGTTATATATACACATGCATATGTATACCTACATTCATTTTACTCAATTTCGCATGCCAATTGGCTTTTTATGCATTGTGTATAAGCCGTTTTGTTCATTTTGTATGCAGTAAGCAGAATGATTAGTTTTTACTTTCTTTACATTTGTAGTTAATTGCATTTCCCACAACTACAACTATAGTTATTTATCTATTTAGTTAATTAATAACTGGCTTCATGGCCGGCTAGAATGTAAAGATCATGCCCCTCCTCGCTGCCCAGTGAGCCGGTGCGCAGCAATTGACTCTCCAAAGCGACGACTCTGCATACAAAAAAAAAGGAGATAGAAAACACAAAGTGAGTTTCGATAGAAAATTGTGCAATGCCATTACAAAGAGTAATTACTTATCACAGCCGAGCAGTCGATATGTGCGACTCATATCCTTGATTTCCTGCGTTATTTCGCCATTGCGCAACGACTTGCCCTGCATGCCGTGCTTATGGAATGCTAGTACGCTGTCCGGTAGACAAACTGGTAGGAAGAAAACAAAGCGTTAGCAATTATATGAAAATTGATGATGTATACATCAGGGTGGTCGACGCTCGATGAGTAGGAGTTTAACATGCTAAAACATCTAGAAAAGCGTCTCTCCTCTGCTGTGCACGTTCGGAAGGCATGTTGGCGCGTGAGGGTACGTTCNATACATCAGGGTGGTCGACGCTCGATGAGTAGGAGTTTAACATGCTAAAATATCTAGAAAAGCGTCTCTTCTCTGCTGTGCACTTTCGGAAGGCATGTTGGCGCGTAGAGGGTACGTTTTCCACCGAAACATGCAGAGTGAATTGTCGGGCTGGACATAAGTAGCAGTTCGACTTACCTATGCTATCCACACTGAAATCGAAATTGAGTTGCGAGACCATTTTCTTGTGCTGCTTCGGATTGCCCTGCAGCGTGACGACTTGTATGATGTTGCCATAGCAGACAAGTATCGCATCCTTTTCTACCTGATGTACTTTCACCACTTTCAATAGATCACGCCGCGGCACCATTGTTGCCATAGCATCGAAATCCAAATCGTCCGAATGGAACCAACTAGCGCCTGGCGAGAAATAATCAAAATTAGCGGATAACCCTTTTGTTAGCCAAAAAAAAAACGTCTTCCTACTATTCATATTGATCAGTTCTAGCTTGAGACAGCCATTGAGTGCTTTTCGCACGCCCGTGCACACGATCGGATACTCCAGTTCCGGCGTGATGATCATCTCGAAGACGGATGTGTGGCCATTCAGCACGCAGCCATGCCCGCCGCCCAGTATGCTCGTTGCCGGCCATTCGCATTGCTTGAGCAGCATGAATTTGTTCAGCGGATCGTACCACTGCATGAGGAAGATGCCGCTGGGCGTGGCGCCGCACAAGTATTTATAGCCGTTGTAGGGATTGCGCGTGACGCAGCACTGGGTGCAGCCTTTGGTGTCGGGAACTTTGGTGGTGAGCGCGAACTTGCGCGGCACTAGTCTTTCGGGAATTTTGTTCATGTGCAGCGAGAAACGATGGGTCTGCTTGGAATGTAGCGCGATCAGATCGTGCCTATACAACTGACAGGATTTGCCTACAGAACGACAGAGGAATGATGGAAAACATGTTATAACATTCGAGAATATGCTCACCTGATAGACTCATTAGCACGTCCTTGATCACATACAGCCAGGTGGTGCGACGCGGAAAGAGCTGATCTATTACCGCATCGTGCAGCTCGTTCATATTCAGATTGAATATGCCTTCATCGGCGCCGATGAGCAGGTGTTGGTCGCGCGTTTCGGGGTGGATCCACGAGGCGGTGCAGTGTATGCGCAGCGGGCAGCCGTTGAAGATCTTTGAGAAACAGGCGCCCATATGCACCTTGGGCGTGGGGGGCAGACCGTTGGAGATGGGACGTGGCGGGGTGTGGCGGCGACGATGTGAACGTTTGGGAGGCACGGGGGGCGTATTGTTGAGCAGATCCGGTTGGGCTTCTTTCTCCACTGCAAATAAAAATGAACGTAAATCCTCGAGTGAAATTTCTATGGCAAAGAAAATGTGCTCATTCTTCATACTTTCGTCCTCTTGCGTGCCTCCATCGCTGAGGCTCCGTGTTCTCGACGATTTGCCCATGTCATTTAGCAAGCCAATTAGCTGGTCCATTGAGCTATGGCGACGTGGCGAGTCCTCTAAACCATTCTGTATAAATAAGGGAAAAATTAATTACGGAAATGAGGAAAACCCAGCAGACGCTTGCCAGGCCTACGCGCCATAATGCATGGCTCTTCATACACACCTGAATACTTTCATGCATATAATCACAATTGTTGTCAATGCCTCCGCCAGTCGCCTGCGCCGATGTAGGCGTGCATTCGCCAGAGGCCGAGGCCGAGGTCGAGCCCGCCGAAGCAGCCGAAGCCGATGCGGATGCGGACGCTGACGTCGCCGTTGCTGCAGCTGCGCCAATCGTCGTTGTCGAATCGGTCGCTGAAGTGTTGCTATTAAAATAATTGGCGCCATTATTACGCAGCAAATTTGTGAACAAATGCGACGTAGAAGCAGAGGAATGCATGAGCACATCACGAGCAAACGCGGACGTGGATGACGAGGGCGATGGGGAAGCGACAAGGCCGCCGACACTACTACCAACACCAACAAAACCAACAGCACCACCAACACCACTACCGCCGTTCCTATCAACACCTAACACACCACAAACTAAACCACCTTCGCCAACGCCACCGCCACCATTAGTACTACTAACACTACCACCTAAGTCACCGCCGCCAGCACCAGCACCACCATCGCTATCGCAACTGAAACTATCCAACGGATTGTAAGACGACGAGGACAACGATGTGTGCGGCAATTGCCCGTTGAGAGTTGTTGTCGTCGCCATTGTGGCATCGTAGGAAAAGCTGGAGGGGGTTGCCGCAAGGCCGGTGGCGCTGGATGAGCGCGAATGCATATTGCTGCCGCCATGCCCGCCTTTGTTGTTCCTGTTACTATTGTTGTTGCTGCTATTGTTACTGTTGTTGGTGTAGTGCATGTAATGATGATGATGATGTTGGTGATAACGTGGCTGCTGTTGTTGCTGCTGCTGCTGCTGCTGTTGGTGTACGTGTGTATGCTGTTGCTGATGGCGAGTGCCGCTGTCGTGGTTGGCATTATTGGTCACAGCATCAACCGAAGTCGTGCGCAAATTGGAAAAGCCAATACCCAGTCCCAAGTAGGCGGACATCGAATGACCCAAACCGCCAGCACCACTGCCGCCATTGACGCTTGTGGTTGCTGCTGTTGCTGCTGATGTGGCCGTCGCAGAGGTTGTGGAGGAGCTGCTGACATCGTCGGGGGCTGATGGCGCAGGGGCGTCGTTGGCGCCGACGCTGCTGCCACCTCCATTGCCATTGCCATTTCCGCTATTGCGCGCGCAGTGGCACTCGGTGCTAAGCAAATCTTTGGTATCGGTTAATGGCAGAGTGGCTCTGTAAGGATGTGGTCAGTGATCAGCGATGAGCGAACAGCGTGCGCGCGATATAAAAATAATTGAGTGACGAACGAATGTGTGAGGGTGAAGAGCGTTGTGAGAGTGAGAGAGCGGCGGGAGAGAAAGAAAAGCGACATATGAGAGACTGTGAGCATCGATTTCTTTATAAACGATTGTGAGTATGATTCCAAAGGTGCCTAAATGTAGGCAGCATTTGTTTGAAAATTTTGAAATTTTAATATTTTTATGGTGTAGGGCACGTTTGTTTATACCAAAGTTGAGTTTGAAATCAGAATTTAGTGAAAATAGGAAGGAACATACGAGGAAGTCTTTAAATGAATTAATTTTGGATTAACATTTATAAAAATACATAGAACACCAGAAAGTATGCAATGAATACGTAAAAAAAAAAACAAAAATATGATTTTACATTCTTAAAGAAAATATATCCAATTTTTAGTTCAAACTAACATTAAAAAGGTAAAACGTGCTTTTCAATTTTTAATAACTACGGCTCAAAAGGCATATAATAAGGCTATGGTGGAATGTAGGGAGGCAAGGTGATGCGTTGTGTGATGATTTATGTATGTAGGTGTGTACAGTTGTCCACAAAATAATAGGAGTGGGATATTTTAACCTGTTTGGCTATTTGTCTTTAGTTTATTTAATGTTTCGTATTTTTTTGTAAAAGCCTAGCTGGCTCTACAACAAACACCATATAAATTCAGATTTTAAACTTTGTATAAAAATTATAAAAATTCTGCAAATTTTCACCAAAATTTCAAACTATTTAACCAGAATCTTTAGAAAATATGTTGGTATGCAGTTTTGTAGCCCATTCAATTTTAGTCTGAAGAAGTGCAAGTTTCAAGCTGCTAAAAAATTCCGTTGATTTTTGAGAATTTTTTCGGTTGAAGGTGTTTCACGTTTTTTCCATACAAAGTATGTTCGACAATTTTCTTTTATATGGGGACAGTGCCAGCAAAAAAAATTGCCAAAAATCAACGGAATTTTTTAGCAGCTTGAAACTTGCACTTCTTCAGACTAGAATTGAATGGGCTATAAAACTGCATACCAGAATTTTCTCTGAAGATTCTGATTAAAAAGTTTGATATTTTGGTGAAAATTTACAGAATTTTAATAATTTTTGTACAAAGGTTGAAATCTGAATTTATTCGTTGTTTGTTGTATACCCAGCTTGACTTTTGTATAAAAATAATAAACATTAAATAAACAAAAGACAAATAGCAAAAACTGACCAAAATAACGCATTCCTATTATTTTGTGGACCACTGTACATATAAGTTAATATCATATATTATTTGAGTGTCCGTTTTTAGTTGTTTTAGTTGGTGAATTAAGACAACAATGCAAATAATTATGCCACAACAAACATTTCTCTATTAATTTAATTAATTTTATTAGTCGAGTAATGAGCATAAGGGATTAGTGTGCTAACGCTGTTGTTGTTATTATTGTTGATGAAAATTGGTTTATTAAATGAGATTACAAAACGATTAGTACGTAATGAAATCATAGACATACATACATATATGTATGTATCTATGTATTCGACAAAACGCAACGAACCGTTAGTTAAATAAATTAAATTATTTGCACACACTAATCGGAAAAAGATTAATTACTTACGGAAACAAACACACACACACACCTAGATACATACGCATACAGTTGGGCCCAACTAATTAAACCGGCGGCATATCGACCAGTTTTGTTTAAGTATTTTCCTTTTGTTTATTATTATTAACCGACTTAAAAAAATGAGCAGGTTATCAATTCGTCAGAATATTTTTGTTTTGTGTATGTTACCGCATAACTTTAGACCACCGTCACCGATTTCACTAATTTTTACCTCAGAGGTGGTCCCATACTAATTTGGTTTGGATCCGATCATTGGATCATGAAGAATTTAACGGTACTCTTAAATTTTTATATGAGAATTTAAGTCGGTTTTGTTTTTGCTTAAAATATACTTGCTTTTTATAAAACTCTAGCACACTCCAAAACTTTCTAAAAAAAAGTTATAAAAATTCCAGGAATTTTCAGCAAAATTTCAAACTTTTCATTTAGAATTTTTAGCAAAAGTACAATTTTCAGGAGGCAAGGATTCGCGTTGATTTTTAATATATATATGTATATATATTTTTTTTTTGCTGAAGGTGTCACGCATTTTCTCCCACATAAAGTTTGAAATGTGGATTCATGTGGTGTTTGCTATATAACGAACTAGACTTTTATAAAAAAAAGTATAAACATTTAGTTTTTCTCCCTGACGTCAGTTTTTTTTTTAATTCTTTTTAAAAAATTCAGTGCAATGTAGAACAACAATGTTGCTATCAAATAAAAGAGAAAATTCTGTAGAATTAAAAAAGTTCAAATTTTATGGTGCATTAGGACGAATAGGTACTGAAAAGTTATTTGAATATTTTGTCCTTGAAAATTTTCAATATGTATTTTTGAGAAAATTGTATGTTAAGGACTAACTAAGGACAGACGACTACATACTCGAATTTCGTCCTTCTAACTTTATTGGCTTAAAAAAATTAAATTGAATAAAAGTAAGCCTTTCAATACCAATTCGTCCTTGTGAAAAGGCTTACATTTTTTTTATTGTACAGAATTGTCTTTTTCATTGGTGCTCATATTATTATTCTACATTGCNTGTTAAGGACTAACTAAGGACAGACGACTACATACTCGAATTTCGTCCTTTTCACTTTATTGGCTTAAAAAAATAAAATTGAATAAAAGTAAACCTTTCAATACCAATTCGTCCTTGTGAAAAGGCTTACATTTTTTGTTTTTTATTGTACAGAATTGTCTTTTTCATTTGGTGCTCATATTATTTTTCTATATTGAACTGAATTTTTCAAAATAATTTTTGGAATTAATCATATTTTTATGACATTTGATAGTCCTTATAAAAAAATCTGACGTCAGAAGGAAAACTGAAACGCAGTTTCAATACATCTGGCCCATAGTTTCATATGTGTATTGATTGTTTCGTGAGTTTTGAAATTTTTTGGTTTTGGTCAAAATGTTGCTGGCTTAATTAGTTGAGCACAAGTGCACATACATACATATTTATAGACACTTAAGACATGCGAAGCCTATCTACATACATAACATTCGAGCGATGAATTTGGATGGTTGCTGTGTGGAGTTTTTGGTGATGTTGGCTGTGTCCTTTGGTTTTTACTGTTTGTTGGATTTTATAGATTTGAGTATGTATGCACTCCCGCTGCAGTCAGATAAAAAAAAATTGGCGATTTTTTCTTCGAAAAAATTTTACTTTAATTGAGAAGTACTAGAAAAAATTCCCGTACATATCGTTTGTGTTTAAAAGAAATTATTTGAAGAACAAAACGTTTAAACTCACTGTAAACGACCGAACAGCTAATCGTATGTATAGTGGATTTGTATATGTATAACTTTTTCTGCTTTAAAAAAGTTTTAAGTAAATTTTACTTTCACTTTATCGGCTTAGAATACATTTGCATACGCTTTTGTTATTTAAAATTCGCCTGAAGATTTTAGCAAATAATCCCTGATTTATGAACTACATAGAAAATTTCACTGAGCGCTTAGATGCACTTTTATTCGCCACTTAATATTCTGATGGCACATTTTCTTAATATATATTTTCAGATTCCGCTTGTGGATTAAAGTGCAATGAATATAAAAAAGAAAAAAATAACGAAACAAAAAAAATCCTAAAATAACATTGATAAAGAGGGAAGCGGTTGACATGCAAATTTTAAGTCAGACTAAAACAAAACGTACACCATCACACACTTAATAAACATATACATATATATCTGGGCATGAGAAATTGGGGATATGCAATACATATGTGCATATTTACACGTGTATACTAGGGCGGGTCGAAAATTTAATTTTCCTATTTATATCTAAATACTTGTTGCATGTTCCCTACTTTCATACAACGTTAAATTTATAAACCGCGAAAAATGTGCTTTTTCGGTGACTAATGAAAAAATTTAATTTTCAAGAATGCATCAATGGACTTAAAATGAGCGCTGCTCACCTAATTTTATTTAGTCTTATTGAAAATTGATATATGAACGTGGTATACTAAATTTGTTTAAAACAATTAACGCATTCCCTAGATAATGCCGGCCAAAGTTTCATTTAAAAAATGCATACGTTTTGAATCAATTACGCGTGCTAAAAATATGTTTTAAATAATTATTTCGTCGCCAATTATAATTGGCTTAGACCTAAGACAACATATTATTACTATACTACAATACCATCAAATGTCATTTCGTTTGCCCCATACAAAATCGACCCAGCCTAGTATATACGTACATATCCATAGAGCGTAGAAAAAACTAAAAAAATTAAAACAATGACGACCCAAACATGCAAATAAACATTATAATGCATGAGCTGAGACGCTGGTACAAACAGATAAACAAACAAACAAACAAATGAATCAGTGATATATAAAAATAAATCGTGAAAATAATGTCAAACATCGCAGTCACTTGTTTATGTATAACTAGTAATGTATGTATGCGTATGAATAAAAAAAAAATGAGTATGTATGTACATCTGTATTTTTATGCACATACTTATAGTGCAAATATGAATAAATGTATACGGCAAGGATACTGGCAAAAGACCAAGTGCATTGAAGTTAAAACAAATGCAATATGCGTATGCGCACACCCACACCAGCACACAATTAAATATGTGCATATGTATGGAACATATGCAAATTAAGCGGCGGTTGAAAATCTTAGAGAACTATAGGGGTATTCCCGAGGTCTTGCAAAGCTCTTGCACGGTGCACGGATTGCACGGTTTGCAAAGCTACGCCATACGAAAACCGGTTTTACCAGGCAATCTGTGCACCGTGCAAGGGCTATGCATCACTTCGAGAATACCCCTAATCTGTTTTAAAACCTTCAGAGCGAGTTTTGCAAAGATGAACTGAGCGGTTAACGAACCATTCAACACCTAAGGCTGACTCAATCAGCGAAGTTTGGAAGGTGTTAGATATAGTATAACTTTTCTTTAGTCTGTCAAACAGTTATTATGTCTATTTCAAGCATAGCTGTTCGCTTTAATATATGTAATTGTATATGTAAATACATAGTAGGTACAGGTAGGTACTCTCTAAGTTTGTTAGCGATTTGTTTATAGGGAAGTGGCGCTGACTATCTGTGGCTCAGCTCGGCGAACTTAAGCCGAAAACGAATGCATCCGGAATTTCAATATCCTTCTGGCTCGGGGTGGATCAGGGGCTTTCAAGGAAGCCATAGCTCTAGCTTTTGGTGGAGCTTTGCTAAGTCAATTTCCGTTCGCGATTCCCGAGATGAGAATAGAAATCGCATCTGAGCTTCTAAAGCCACAACTGTTTGGAGAGTAGAGAAGTCCATATAATATTTGAACCAAATTGAGGTTTAATCTCTCTGAATTAAATTTAGTGATTATATTTGTCTTTTTTAAGTAATTATTTATTTTTGTTCGTCGCTTCGAATCAAAAACTGTAAACTAGATTTTCTAGCTTTTTTTTCAAACTAACGAGTTCCCACAAACCTACCATGTATGTATGTATGTATGTACAAGTACCTATAAATAGAGATATCGTTTTAGAAATTTTACAACCGCACTTCATAAAAATTTAGGTGTAATAACTCTAATGCCGCCTTGAAAGTGTTCCATATACACAGAACTATTTTTACTATCCACTATGCGAAATATTGTAATATGCAAAATATTAGTTTGCATGTGGCGTTTTGCATATAAAAATTTAATGTATCGAAAATTATGAGATGCATACACCGAGCGCACTACAGTATGCTATAAAAATGAGGGGCAAAGAACATTAAACTAAGATGTGTTTATCTACATAAGTACATACATACGTACATACATATATATATACACTTGGGGATGTCTTAGCGAGCTTAGCGATGTGGGGGACACAATTCAAATGATTTAAGCAAAGCTTGCAATATACAGATAATTTGCTATTTGCATACAAATTTTTGTCTATAAAAACACTAAGATAATAATCTCATAAACATACATAGATATGAGTATAATAAAAATTGATGGTTGATGGGTGAAAAGGGTCAACTTAAACCAATTTGTGAACTATTGCTGAATTGATGATGCTTATATGTATGTACATATGTACGTATACGTACATGTATGTGTGTATTTGTATGAACAGATATGTGAATTTACATGGTTCTGCATAAGGATTTATGAAATGTGCGAGTGAGTTCATGACGATTATAGAGGGGGGTTATATTTTGCGAAGAACCAAGGCCAATGTGCGCTTTACGAGGATTTAAATATGTATGTATGTCTGTATGCTATTCTTTTGTGATTTTTGTTTTTCATTTTTAAATTATATAGGTGTGTTATGTTAAAAGATAGTAAATATTTTCTAAATAAATAAAAAGAAATAGTAAAATAATTAAAATGAAGAAATATTTTTTTGTGAAAGGAAATGAAAGCGATTGAATTGGTATGGAAAATGGTCGGTGGCCAAAGCTTAATGTTTCCAGCGCTAATGCTTGAAACACAATGAAAACGACGGGTCAAGGGCCACAGCTTTGAGGAGAGGAAGAACCTTATCGGTCGCTCGAAGANAAAGACTAAGTCTTATTGTACTAATTTTAAATAAAGAATAAAGAATAAAACACAATGAAAACGACGGGTCAAGGGCCACAGCTTTGAGGAGAGGAAGAACCTTATCGGTCGCTCGAAAAATAGATAGAAATAGATCTAATTTCGCCACGAACGCTGTTTAATGTAATTTGGCAGCTTTGGTCCGTCATTTTCATTGCGTTTCTGCCATACATTTTACCACTGTTTGGCATTATGAATATCTGAAAGGATGGCATTTGATTTTTCTGGCTGAACAATTTTTTTGTTTACGTTTTTTTTTGCATTTTAAAGTAATCTATAACGTCTTGGGAGGGCTTTTTTTTAAATAAAAAAACAAAAAATGCTTCGCTTGCACTGTTCGTTTGAGTATAGTAGTAGTTGTAGTTGTTGTTGTAAGTATTTACCTTAGCTTTAGCTCCTCATCAATATACTGTAAGAGGCTCCTACAAATAACACAAACAAAATGCAAGAAGAAAAATATAACATAAAGAGCATAAGATTGAGAATACTTCAAATACTATCAAAATACAAATATTTGTTGTATTAAAAATTAAATATACATAAATTCTAAAGAAAATATATTAAACGAAAAATAGGAGAAAAGTACAATTTTCTAACAAGGAGAGGGAAATTAAAACACAAAAAAGGTAAAAATAATAAAAAAGTAAAAAAAAAGTAATGGAAAATATTCAAAGGTCTGTTAGATGAAAGAAAATAAAAGTGCAGGGCAGTTTTTAGTACCAAAAAACAAGGCTAAGAAAATTTACCGCATAGTAATTGTTTTTCCAATTTTTAGTCAAATCCGTCAAGAGTTTCAAAAAGTGAAACGAGCATTCAAAATTGAAAGAGCTGAATTTAACTTTTATGGGAAAGCGTGCTCAAATCTCGCTTCAACTCCTTGGTTTGAGAATATTTATAAAATCTGTAAAAATTTACAAATCAAATCGGGCGCATGCTGTGCAAACACAAGAAACAGGACAACTTAGGGCGGGACTTCAATAATGCCAAAATAAAAAAGTGGAATATTGAGTTTCAATGCAAAAATAAATAATACAAATAAATGCAAATAAAAGTGTTTGTTTTTATTATTTTGCTACGCATTTATTTGAGGATGTGTAAGGGTTTGTGTGTGTGTGTTCATCTTTATGACCAAATCATAGACAGCTGCCGAGCTGACGGCGAAAATGTGAGTAGAAAACGTACAAGGCGAGCATGTGCATACATACATATCGTCGCCTTAGACTGTAAACCTGCTAACGACCAAAAAACATATTTTACTGTAGAGGCAAAAAACTAAATATATCTTTAACTCATAGTCTAAGGGGAAAATCCTACATATAGTTTGTTAATCGCGCGACGTTCTATGGCCCTAATCCAGAACGAATGGAAAAAATTACGTTTTTATGGTTTTATTGGCGAATCTCTAACTTAGCAGGTTTTAGTTTTTGTATTTTCAAAATTGAAGTGGATTTAGCAGGTTTTTTGTATGAATAAAATTGTTTCTATTTTATTTTTTGTGATTACGAGCTCAATTTAAATGTTAATTAAAATAGTATTCCATAGATAAAAACAATTATATATACATAAAAAAATACAACAGATTTATTCTTCCGTTTATTGCAACAAAAATGGGCAGTTTATAAAACATATATTAGGAACTATACGTGAAGTATTCCTCTCTCAAATTAATAGTACAAAGACCACATATAAGATAATTTAAGTAGGAACTCAATAATGCCAGAAAGTATGATACATATTATTCAATCATGAGGTAAATTGTTATAGTAGGCGTGGTAATCTTCAGGAAGTAATCGTTTGAAATACTGGAGATCTCATACTTTCTGCGAGCAATCGTACGCCTACTCTCGTATTGAAATAAATACAATCTCCCGTTCCATTTTGATTAGACAATAAACTTTGCGTCAAAAAAAGTTTTAATCAAAAAAAAAAAATCCCCTGGAAAATGATAACAAGAAAAAAATTATGATAATTTGCGTTGCCAGACCAAAATAAATAATACAATTTGAAATTAAAACTAACTAAATATTTTCGCTTAATAAATTCAATTCATATATTCTAATTATAATTTTTCAACTGTAGAAATTTTTGCAAGGCATAAATTTCCATAACTTTTATTGAGCACAAATTGGCCGCAATTCATGAAATATTAAAGCAGCAAAACAATTTCGCACTATCAACGTATTAGATTTTTTTGCAATTCGTGCGCAAAAATACACAAATTTTAAGGTTTTTATCATAATTTACCAACGGAACGAATCGCAGATAAACGCGAAAAATAGCCAACCGAATTAGCAAATTGCATGAAGGGAAAACTTTTCAAAATTTAATTTAACAAACTGCCAACGTTTGGCGAGGAGCACCGTGAGTGCAAGCCGCGGGGCATACAGTGATTATAATAATCACAGTGCATTAGGGCTAAACATGCAAAAACAGCATGCAAAAAATAACAACAACAAAATACATATAACAAAAATATACAAAATTGAAAGTACTGCGAAAAAGCAAATGCGAAAGTAGGGAAAGTATAAATTGAAAATAAGCAACGCAAACAACAGCGAAAATCGCAGCAACTTGCAGGCATGCTACATTTTTTGCAGCGCGCTTATGTATCTACTTAGCACACATATTTGCGTATTGCAATGCTACACATACAGTCACATACATATATATGCATATAAAAAGGCTGCCGGCAGCAACAATCAATTTGCAAAACGGAAACATAACTTTGACTGCGTGGCAGACGAGCGCAGCGAGAGGGAGCAAAAACGCATTTTTTTCATATTTTGTTCTGCATTTTTCTTTTTTTTTGCTGCTAAGTCAAAACAGCGCATGGCAGTGGAGGCATTTTGTGTTGCATATTGGCAGGCGTTTTGTCATCAATACACATAGAATTCGGCGCGCCACAAATAAACAGGAAACAAATTATGTACGAAAAATGCAGCAAGGAAATTAGAGCGAGAAAAATATCAGTAAAAATTTTGCTAGAAAAAGGCGGCACGAAGCGTAAAAAACGACGCTTGGAAATTGCGAAATTACATAGCGAAAAATTTTTTAGGGAGTTTATTATGCTGTGAAGCTTTTGTGTGTGTGTGTGTGTGAGTGTGTGTGCCAACCTTAAGGACATGTTCATAATCAATGTACCGCTAAGTTTTTGACGACGCGCTGCCGCTAAAGGACTAAGAAAAAAAGAGACGAAAAAATTGGAGGAGAAATTGAGTGGACAAAATAATTGCAATTAAATAATAATCAAGTAACTCGAAAGTAAATACTAAAAGGTATAAAAAAAAAATGAAATGAAAAATGTTGTGAAGTACAGTTGAACTAAAAGTGAATGTAAAGTCGATGGCGTGATTTTGGATTGTATGTGTGTATGTGTGAATATGTGTATATATATTTGAATTCTAAACCGAATTCGTGTGGATGTGTGTGCGTGTATGTAAATATTTTGCAATGTATCGCTGTGAGTGGAATAACTTTTTGCTCACACGGTAATGATTGTTTGTGCCTGTTAAGAGGTAGGTTGCATGAAACTCATGGGAATAAATACATACATATGTACCTCAATATACATATATAAGGAGGAAATAATAAATAAATGAAGACAGCTAAAGCTAAGAAAAAAAAAACATGTTTTTAGTATTATTGAGTTGTGTATGTTGCTAGTGTTTGGTTGCGTTCAATACACGACAGATAAAGCAATTAAGTATGCAGACAAACAGGAAATTGAAGTATACTATTAGGCGTTTCACAGAAATATTATGTACATATACATAAAATGAACATACACATGTATGTATGTAGATGTACGTCCACATACATATGCATACTCCTATTAAGCATAACAGAGAAAAGCATTTTGGTTTAGCAAAACCAAAAAGTATATAAGTACTATATAATAAATACATACGTACATGATATTTATACAAAAACATATACATACATGTCGCTTGGCAACGTTTCGGGACTAGATGAGCGATCGTTCCACTGTGAATTCGTCGTCATGCCTGCAATAAAAAAGTTCAAATTACTATGACATTGACATCAACAAAGTGTTAGATAAAGTTTCTTCAGCAGAAATCAACTACTTAACCCTAGCATCGTAAGACAGTTTTAGCCATACGTTATTCGTAATATACGTAAATTTTACACTACAACGTTTAGGTATGTTATTTTAAATAAATGTTTAATAAGAACTTAAACGATTAATTATTCACTTGTTTATGCAACAATAAAATAAAGAAAGCACTGCCGAGTGCAAACAGCGATAGGGCATAACGGTGAATAGTACACGTAAAAATTTACGTATATGTATTACGAATGCAGGGTTAAATCAAAATCTCACTAAAAACCACAGAACCTGATTTTACAAGCAATAAAATAAATTAAACACCGTAAAAATAAATAGCTTTAAAAAGTCAAACGAAAATCGTGGAAAAAGAGATGTGCAACTTTAATTTGAAGTGAAAATGGAGCACAAAATTGTTGTGTCCCCTTTTCCTTTGCGAAAAGCACAGCACAGCGCAAGGCGATATACAACAAAAAAACATATACTGTATACTTATGCTAAAAAGCACTTTAATATAGTCGTAAGTATGTATGTATGTATATACATATGAAGTTTGCGATTGAGGTTAGATTAGTGAAACACTTACCTGTTTTCAAAGTGTGATTTTGCGGTGAAATACCATTTGGCCTTGATGTCATTTTACTTGCTATTCGTTGTGGTACGCTGGCGACAGTCTATTTCGGCATTTTTGTTGGTTTATTTGGCATGGTTGTTGTCAATGTTGTTGTTGGTGTTAATTTTGTTTTGGTTTGTTGATAATTATGGCCAACCACAAGAGGGGCGACGGCAACAGTCATTGGAGCATTACAACATCAAAGGAGGATGGAAAAGAAAAAAATAAAGAAAAAGTAATTATATTTCCATACTACATACATACATATGTCTTTAACAAAATAGACTGCTGCTGAAATGCATAATAGCACATTCGTTTTTTTTTATTTGTTTGTGAAAATTAAAAACGACCAATAGGGTTTCGTTCGAAGAAAAAATAAACGTTTTTCCTATAATTTACCATGAGAATTATATTAATGAAACAAGTACTTTTTAAGCAAAAAACAAAACCGAATCCATTTCTCATATAAAAATTTAAGATAATCGTTAATTTCTTCATGATCCAATGATCGGATCTAAACGAAATTAGTATTAAAAGAATTATAGAAATCGGTTAAAGTGGTCCAAAGTTATGCGATAACATATGTACATAAAAAAATAAATCAATAAAAATAATTCCACCGAATTGATAACATTCTCCTTTTTGTGAAGTCGGTGAAAAAAGACTGATGCACATACATATGGCATATGTACATAACTACATGTTTTATAATGAGCAACGATTGAATATAAAATATTTAGTATATGGGCCATTCCAGCGAAGACGGCAGTTTAGATAAAAAAAAGTAAGTGCGCCTGGGCCACACTGGTGAAGTGAAACTTACGTTCCATATCTATTATGTCTCATAACCAATATACATACTTACATACATACATCTGGTTTTGCTTAAGGTTATATTTTTCTATTTCTCTATCCCAGTTTCTTCTAATTACATTTATGTATGTTATTCTGTTTTCCTTTATCTTCATTTTTATCTTTATACTCTGTCGATAACAAAATCAATAGTAAAATCCAACAAAATATCGATAGTAAAATTGATAAAAATATCGATAACAAAATCGATGACAATTTCGATAAAAATTTCGATAGCAAAATCGATAATAATATTGGTAGCAAAATCGATAAAAATAGCGATAACAAAATCGATTATAATATATATATATATATTTTTTATATGAGAATTGAAGTCGGTCATCCCCAACCATTTCCGTTGCACCATTTCCGTTGCACAATTTCCGTTGCACCACTTCCGTGTGCAATTTCCGTTGAATTTGCCAATTTACTTCAACCAACCAACCGCCGCTAAAGAAGTTTCACTTCAAAAATAAATTACAAAAATTGTGTTTAAATATGTAAAAACAGCAAAGCAGGTAGAATAATTATTTAGAAATAGATTTTTATCGATTAATTTTTCATTATTTTCTCTATTTATGAATGCAAATGAGCCTTTCCACGTAACCGAAAACTAAAATGGTCCGATTTTGGCGGTTCCGACAACTGATTAATATATTATAGAAATACACTCGCCTACCAAATGTCAGTCGGATATCTCGAAAACTGAGGGACTAGATTGCGTTCAAACAGACAGACAGATGGACTTGGCTAAATCGACTCAGCTCCGCGTTTTGATCATTTTGGCAAACTTTTATGTGGGTATCTTCTTCTTCTGGTACTTAAAAACATCGGACCAAATTTATAATACCATTTCATGTTCATAAAAGGTATAAAAACTTATGGAAAAAATCGTATGTTCGCGATCGATACGCTCGCGACCGGTACTGAAGCTTATAAACAAAAAACTAATAGATATATTTCAACGCGCAATTAGTAAGAAGAAATTTACTTTATTCCACTTTAATATAAAATTAAATCGCTTTAGAATATCCTGTTCCATTTCGCAGTTTCTTACATTTTTTCCATTTGCAGCCAAAAATGACTTAGCGACCGCATGTTTGTTGCTAGCGTATGGAAAAAGAAAAATCGAAAGACCATTCCTTTTTGCACCAAAGATATATCTAGCAAAATGCTATCGAAACATAAAAAAAATGTTTAAAATTTGTTTTCTTTTTTGGACTTCAAAAGTGTACGAACGTACGGTTTGTAACTGTTGGAAATGCCCATATATAATATACTGTAATATTTTTGCATGAAGTTTTCGAAGTGTCATGTACTAAATGTGACAATGAAAAAAATATATATATCCAAAAAGAAAGAAAAATTCATGAACTTTAAAATGGTTCCAAGTTATTAAAAAAAAATACAGTTATGGTGAGAAGTTATAAGCGTCCAAAAAAAATTCATATTGGATGTCTAACCGTCACGTATGTACGAATTTTTAAGCTAACTATTGTTCAAATGAGGCCGCCTTATTAAAATATGTGACCACCCGTCACAAAATGCTGTCACACCGGACTCGACAAAGGCACTATGCACGAAATATTTATAGTTTTTCTAAAATTGGGAACGAACCCAACAACTCAGAGAAGCGGGTGTCATCGTTGTCCCACCCATCACGCTTGGAAAATGTTAAATTTCTGTGTAAATTATGTAATTAAATTTTGTACTTCAATTTTGTACTTCGACTTTAAGTGTTAACAGTTTGACACTTGTGAAATCAATGGTTAAAGAAAATTTACTAAAAGTTTGAGCAAAAACGAGATAAAATGACCCACCCTTTACTCTGGAATGCCCCATATTCATTTGATTTGTCGATAGATAATGTTATCCGTCAATTTAGTGATATTTTGGAAGTAAAATTACCGAAAAATTTATCGATATTGTTACCCAAAAATGTATCGACATTGTTAAAACAAAAACAATTTGCGCATTCCACATTTACTAAGCGCTTGACCGAGCTTCTACTCCGATTGATAGTGTCTTTTTACAGTTGTATGCCGCCTCCAGATGGCATATGATTTTAAAGAGAACCTTTTTCTGATAGAAATACAAAAATTAAATTTATTTCTGATTTTCGAGACGCATGCGGGGAAAACCTCAAGTTTTGAAATGACACAAGAAAACGCCGAAATACGTGAACTTAATGTTGCGTCGAAGATTACTGAACTGTATACCGTTTATCTAGATCAGGACATTTTCCCAAGATATTTTCTTTGTTATGAAAAAAATTTCAAACTCTAACAAGGAAAAAATTGAGAAAATTGCAGATTTTTTTGGTCTTTTTTTTTCATGTGTATGATAGTATTAAAGCATGTTCCTTTGCAAATAAAATCAAGCTATTGACGATGAAAATCGATGAATAAATGAATAAGATGTGAATAATGTTACTCATACACCATATCGGACTTGGCCATACTGGTACATCTCGTAAATGTAATAGCAATACTTAAAATTACATTTACAAGCAATAATCATCCACTTCATAGTGCCTTTTGATAAAATTTACAGCAATCTCTTAGGCAAACAATAAAAGCACTTAGAATGGAAAAAATAAATGTACATACATACATATAAATAGTAAAAAAAAATTGTCCTTTATAGAAAGAAATTGATTGTCTGTCTAACGACTAAACATACTAAATACGTATGTATATACGTATGTTCGTAGGCCAAT